TTTTTTAAATTTTCATTATTTTCTTTGATTTAGTTAGTCGAAAACAAAAGCGTACCGCAAACCATGGAGGTGCGTGAAAACAACTGCTTATAACTAATCGTGTAATAATCTTACGTATTCAACGATATTATTATTAGATTCAAAATGTTGTTGGCTTTCCATAAACATAAATTTTAATGTCGAACCATGGATCTTAACCGAGAAAAAAAGAACTTTTTAAGCCGTATCACTACCAATATCACTATTTGCTTTTTAGATCGTTTACTAGTCGGTACGGTAGCTATAATAAGTGTGAAAAATTTTCTGAGTATGAACATCACCAAGTTTTCAAATTTATACCCGTTCCAGTGTACAATCTACAGTTTTCACAATGACGGACACCGCAGTTGCAACTTCAACACCAGCAGCACCAGCCGTGGCCAAGACTAGTCCTAAGAAGAAGGTTGCGGCCAAGTCCAAACCTACCGCTTCTTCTCACCCGACCACTGCGATCATGGTTACCGCAGCGATTAAGGAACTTAAGGACAAGAAAGGCTCGACTCTGCAGGGAATCAAGAAGTACATGGCCGCCAACTACAAAGTCGATTCGACCAAATTGGCTCCGTTCATCCGCAAATTCCTGAAGGCCGCCGTCGCCAAAGGACTTTTGGTCCAAACCAACGGTTCAGGTGCATCGGGTCATTTCAAATTGGCCGCGGAGACGAAAAAATCCGTTCCTAAAAAGAAGATCGTTGCCAAGAAACCAGCTGCCAAAAAGGCACCCGTTGCTGCAGCCAAAAAGAGGAAATCGCTGGGGAAAAAGTCCAAGACGGAGCCGGCCGCGAAGAAGGCCAAGAAAGAAGTAGCTGCTCCCAAGCCGAAGGCTGTGAAACCAGCCAAGGCTAAAAAGACTCCGGCTACCAAGACCAAAGCCCCGAAGGCCAAAAAGACCCCGGTGAAGAAGACTGCACCCAAAAAAAAGTAAACCTAGTTTATTCGTACCCTTTTAAAACGGTCCTTTTCAGGACCACCAAATTGTAATATTATACCCCTCCTTTCACCTCTCATATAAATATATATTAATGGTGTACTGGAACCTAATTTGTCGTATCTGTACCCAGTCGGGTACAGTTAGCAATAACCGATTCCAAAATACTAAGTTGCGTCGGTGCATTCTTTTGTTTTTAATTGCACTTTTGTTCCGCGCAGAACGATTCTAATGTACTCGACTGCTCGTTCATAATTGTTATTTAACAACGAATACGCTTCGTACGCAAATTACTACACAAGTGCATAAGCCGATCAACCACACGGTGGTAGAATTTATTCACGCTATAACTGTAATATAATTACGGATTTGTCGTTTTGAATCGGTATGGAACGAATACATCTCCCCTTACTAGCATTTTGGCATTAGCTGTACAGTGTCTTATACGCCGTACTCGGAATTATCAATCTATTTGCCTA